ATATTATCTACAAATTATATAAATATACAATATTTACTAATATAATTAATACTTTTGGAATTAATATAAGATAGTTATATATACACACAGACAAGCTAGTCAGTTGTTAAGTCAGTTATATGAACTATATAATGTATTATGCACTTAAATATATACATATGCTTATGTGTTAGTATACTTTGTGTTTTTAATTACTTTCAATCTTAAAACCCTATATTCCAACCTATATTTTTGATTTCAACAGTTATCTTCTAAATATATATATTACCTTTGATTATTTTTTATTTCTGATATTTCATATACATTCACAAATATTTCCAGTTTGGAAATCCTTTTAAAAGGTAAAACGAATAAAAAATGTTTGTACCATGGATGTTTTAGTACATTTATAGTCTTTGTATTTTTTAGAACTACATTTTAATATGCTGTGATAAAAATGTGTATTTCTCTAACAAGGTATTGTTTGGTAACTGAAAAGTGTTCTTCAAAGGAATGTAATTCACATTAATTTTCCATGTGATCATTGTTACTTATAGTTTAATAGTCAACATGTTTAAAGTCTAATTAGAAAAAAAATCACTGGATATTAAGTTGGGAAACAAACCCAAGTCTGTATCTACATAGCCACCTTGGTGACCTTTGGTAAATTTCATTTTTGTTCTTTGATTTCATTTTCTTTGAAAATGAGAAGCTGAAAGCTTTAAAGCTTTCTTCCCATAACTCTGAAATAGTTTATGAGCTTAAAAGAAAATAGGACTAAAAGAAATGTGTGGGCATTATTACCTGGCTGCCCAGTATTTTCATGGACACAGACTTGTAACATACTCTGAAAGTTCCTTTAAGGAAAATAACTCTGTAGATACTAATAGCAAGGGAAAAGGGATCAATAAGAAAAAGAAGGGGAAATGAGTTAATGACAGGGGAGGAGACGTAGGCAGTAGAAATGATTCCCCACTTACTTGTGTTTTATCTATAGTCTAGTTATTCCTATTTGAAACCTACTGGCACCAGGTATTATCAACAGGGATGAGTAATATGTAATTTTTATCTTTACTGGGTTACATTTGGCACATGAACAGTTGACAGCTGTCAGTCAGGTGGCTGGTCAATGAGGAGATACATATAAAGCTGCCAAAATATTTTGTTGCTTTAAATACTTACAAGTAAATCATTTTAGCTGGAAATTTTGTTGCATTGAAATTAAATAGGCTGATATTTAAAATATAATTAATTGAAGTTAATTACTGGTAGAATCAAGATTTTCCCTATTAATATGTAAGGTTAAATAACATGTTTTTCCAAGTGTCTTTCTGAAACAGGAAAACAATTTTTCTCCACTGTAAATAAGCTGTCTTTAAGATAGGAAGATATCTCGCAAATAATGCTTGAAATGCCTATGTTTTAATGTTAAATATTTAGAGCAGGTGTAAATCAATGCTACTTTAAACTCCAATATTTTATTAAAATAAACCATTCCCATATATTGAGGGAGTTGGCATAGTGTTTTTTTTTTGTTTTTTTTTTTTGTGACACGATGTTGAAGATTTATTAGAAACGACAAACATAGCTGCATGGTGGACAAGAATTTACAGCTTCTCATAATGAAAAGAAAAAAATAATGTGATTTTAGATTAAATCTACAATTCAGGCACAGTTAAAATGATAAATTTAGTTATTTTGAAATACTTGAGTTATATCTAACATTATTTCCAGTAGATTCATTTATACTTAGATAATTGACAGAGTCATAAACAATAGTTTGACAGAAGCTTTTGGTTTGCTTACACTTAATGACAATGTAATAATTATAGCCAATGGTAATGCACGTGAAAACTTAAATATAATTCTGAAGTTGAAATAAGAACACATGTTGTTCAGTTTTGCAGTAACCATCATCTTTAAAAGTAAATATTGTGATTGTTTAGGAATGTAGCATTTAACAGACTAGAAAAATAAAAGTAAAATTTTCAAGTGCATGAAATACAAACTAATTCTTTAAGAGACTAATGAAGTTATTCTAAAAATTTAGCGACTACAGTTACTCAGGTGTCTGAATCAATATAATGAAACATAATGAAGCATGACAAAATATATGAAAGTAGCAGCTTAATCGCAATAAATACATATATATTTTTAAATGGTTTAATAATTTGAAATATAACATACATGTAACAATTTATAATAAAAAGTATATTTGGGTTTAATGTTTTAAAATATGGGTTCATTAAAATGTTTGTGGATAACATTATGTTTTTAAAATATTAGATATTTTGCTTGGGTGGAGTAGTTCTGATAATTTTTTAAACCACAAATATTTCACAATTTTCAACAGTAATTACGACAGTTTAAAAGAGTGTGTTAGTTATACATTTGTGGCATATCCATGTCGTCATTGATTTAAAATTTATTTCAGATACAGCGGTCATTATTTTTTTTCCACTATACAATCATGTATAAAGGATGTAGATTGAAAGTTATTTATGGGATCATCAGAATAAAACAATTGCCTCATAGTATTAGTAATTTATATTGGTAGGAGTCTTTTCTTTCTTAAGCACCAATTCTACCCCCCACAGCCTAGAAAATTGATTTTATGCATAATAATTTGTAACATTCTTGATCAATGTATACTGTTGTTTCTGTTAAATTAATTAGCCCATGTTGCTTGTGAATATGGAATTTGGTTATTAAAATGGTTTCATATGTTTACTATGTATAGGCTCTAGCTTTGAGCTGCTTACTTGCTTAAATAAATGTTTTCAATTTACTATAATACAACAATTTGTAGAAAAATGCTGTGAAGCATAGTTAAAAGAATGAATCCCTGAAATAGAATCACTTTTTAAAAATATGTCCTAACATGTGGTCTCATTTTTTCATGTTTTGCATTAATTAAAATCCTATTCTGAAGAAAATATTTTTGCCTAAACTTTTGAATTCACAAAATAAAAATAAAAAATATATAAATATACTAATTTTGGAAATCAATGATGTAAAAACCTGCTTTAATACTGTCTTATTGTTAATTTCAAAGATTTTTCTCAAAAGACACTCTTTGTAAAGTAATGAGAAAATATTGCCACTTTTAATTATTAAATAATATTTACTATAATACAATTTACTTTTATTTAATTATTAAACATGCAATATATTTTAAATTATTTAATTATACATGCAATATATGTTTTAAAAATGTATTAAAATAAAGTTCATTGCGTATTCTCTCTATTCATGTTCTTGTAGCATGCACACATTTTAAAAAGCCAGTACATGTAATTTTCGAAAACAGTGTGTACCACCATTGCACCTTTTTATTTGGGAGATTTATTAGAAAATAGCTTTTTATTCAGAAAAGATTATGACAGAATTAGATAATTAGATAAAAGAAGACTAAAATATGTGTTAAATCATGTAACATTATAAATGTAATTAACTCTTCATCTTCCAAAGATTGAAAACAGTAATGAAAGAGACCAATATTTAAAAATGGAATCTTTTTTAAAACCTAAAAAAAGAAAAAAAACTGAAAAATTATTATATGCTAACAGCTTTACTTTCACACCAGGCAAATCCACTGTTGAGTGAGTTGGCTCTGATTCCAATGGTCTCATCAACTTTGTGAACACAGGTACCTCAGTGGTGCCTCTTTCAAGACAACAACATTAACTTTTAGAGATTAAAAAATATATTTTGGCAATTGAAACTCACCAGTGCCTTTCTGCTTCTCCAGGAAGTTGTACCCGTCAGCACCTGCTGAGGGCTTTGTTGTCCAAATCCTGACAGGTAAAAAAATTCCTGTAGAATAAAGCCAGACCAGCTGGCTTTGAAGAGAAACCCCCCAGTTTGGGCTGCGTTTGCCTCCTCTCCTTTTCTATGAAGACCGAGGCTTTGCCCCCTTGATCGTCAAGCCGTGAGATGCGTGATCTCTCTGCACAAGTGTCTGGCAGGCCGAGGTGCACCTGTTTCTGTCACTCTGGAGTAAATTTAGCTGTAAAGGTATCACTGACAACCAGACCTTTGTCAGTGCTGGCGAAAGAACACAGAATTGCTTCCCTCCCCTCCCCCCTCCCGACCCCCTATGCTGCTAGTTCCAATGGAAAATATCCAATCGGAAGTCTATCCAAAAATCATTCCTAAAAAATGAAATTGCTTTCATATGGTATAAAAAAGTAAGTTTCCTCATTTCAAGCAGATTTTAAAATTACATTTCCAAGAATAATCTTGGAACAAGACAAGTTTTCGTTCAATTAATTGTGGCTGGAAACTTTTTAATGGAAACGTAGCACATACTTACTTCATTTCAGGTTATTAAACTGTGTTAAGCATTAAAGTTATTTGCCATTCTTTGCTGCAACTCATTTGTTCTTTTCGATTCTAAGAAATATTAGAAGGTTAAATAACTTATCACATAGGAGGGATTAATCATGCTACCAAAATTAGAATGTGTGTAGTTCTGAGGGACTGGATGTCAAAATTGTATGCTCATAGCACTAAAACCATTGGGAATCTAGGATGTCACTAGAACATGTAAAATGGCAGCTAAGGTCTGTGCAATCCCTTCATGTTTAGAAACTGGCTAAAGCTTGAGTTCTCTTATCTTTTGGTTAAGGTAAGGACATTTATCATTTATGTGAATGTTTTAGACTAATTTCTTTATTAGTGGTTTGAGAAATATTCCTTTTGAGGAAAATAGAGAGGCAAGCAATATTCATTAATATGTCTGACATAAATAAAATAGTTAAGATATATACAGCAATCCAAGGAGTAACATCCTTAGCCAAAGCATTCTGAACTCCTGCCTTAATAATTATGATTTCTTAAGTGGAGTTAAAAAGAGTTGTACGGAGTACCTGTTCTACTATATTAATGCTGTTTACAGGAGTTGGGTGTGATAGAAAAGGAAAGCTGGGTCAAAATAAAAAATGCTTTGTAAAATAAACAAAGTTCCTATTTACTTACTATGTATAAACAGCCACTCACCAAGCCTCATTTCTCCACAGGGCACCACTTTCAGATAAAAACATAGACCTGAATGGCATCATCCAGTATCCAAGGAAACCATGTAAGTACCTCTCTCACTGTGTACTTCTGTTATTCAGATTTTAAAAGCTAGCTGAGTACTGAATAAGTGAGTGTTTTTATTTAGTAATTATAAGGGAGGTACTTTTTAGGAGCCTGCTAAAAAGAAACGGGTTCTTGATCGTTACGTACGTCATACCAAAACTCTCATGTTTTCATCATATTTCATAAAATTATGTGTTTAGTCCCAATCTGTCCATCAATTCTCATTCTTAGGTACAAAATAGCTACTCAAAGTCCTAATGAATTGGAAGTTTCAAACTTTTCCAAGACCCAAACAATGTTTCAAAGTGCTTGTGCCAGGAGTACTTTCTTAATTGTAGTTAAACTTGTTAAATTTAAAAAATTAAGAAAAAATTCCTTGGAAAATAACGGTTTACTGGTAAACATTTATGGCAATTTATTTGGCTGTAGGCTTGCTTGAAGAGTGAGCAAGTGAGCAAAGAGACAAGATTACGTGTTTAAACCGAGAAAAGTATCTTGAAAGTAAGTGTAATGACCAAGATGCAAAAATCTGTTTGGGGATATGGTTGGGAGGTTGGCACATTATTTTATTTCTCCCTTTCCCCAAAACTAATGTACATTTCTGCAGCTAATATCAAGGTTCTAATTCATGTTCAGGAGTTACGAAATCTACTGTGGAAATTTAGTTTCTAAACAACATGCTACTCTGGAGAAAGACATTCCTAAAATATTTGAAATTTCTACTATTTCCTTACTTGGACTTTATTTTTATTTTTATTTTTGTGTTTGTACTATCTACTTTTAAAATTAAATTATTTTCAATATGAAATGATTTTTCGTTATTGTTTTCGTACCTTTTCACAAAATACTTAACATTTTCTATATACTCATGTAATTATAGACATCGTTTTTCACCTTCTAAATTCACTGTGTGATTTACCTAGTCTTTAAATGCAGACATATTACATTTCATCGAAGGTGGTTTGAGAGTTTTTCATATATATATATTTTTGCTTTTGTCACTCGTGTGTATTTCTACTTTTCCTCCGCGGTATGGCTCCTTGCTAAGCATAAATGGTAGAGATTATCTCACAGTTTCTCTGAAGAATGAGAGAGATCCTTCATGTTCAATAACTAACTGCAGGAACATTTCACTTTATCACATAATTATGCCAAATTCTATTGTTTATGCATTTGCATATTTCTGCCTTTTAATATATGTTACCTAATGCATCTTTCTAAATTGAGAAAAGTTGTGTCAGACTAAGGAATTCGCTGGAACTTTGGAAGGGCCTCCTCACCCAATAAGAAGACTTGGCTAGGAACTGAATTTTTTATGTAACTTATAAACTTCACAAATGTGGAGGTTGAGGCCAAAAGTGCTACCTTCTAAAGTAGGAATTCCTTGCTGCATAACAAAGGTAGGCTTTTGCTGAGTAAAGTTGGAAGCAGAGAGGACTTAGAATAGATGTTTATAAAGAAAGATTTGAAGGAGAAGACAAAGTAATGTTATAATTCACTATCCTGAGAAAATGAAATCTTTTGAAATTCATTATCCTTGTAATACAAGGAAAATGAAAATCTATAGTACAGTGCTCATGGCACAATTTTAACTGTTTACATTAAAATATAAATGTTTCCAGAAAAAAATTTAAATTTGACGTATTTAATGAAACCTCCTATAACAAAAGGAAAATTGCTATAGAAATAGATTATACATATGTATATATACACATTTATGTATATATTTGAGATTTTCCATTCATCAGTAGTAGCCTCTCTAATGTAGACCAACTTTGTTCAGTAGAACTTTCTGTGATAATGGACATGTTCCATAGTTGCACCATCCAATATGGTACTCACTAGCCATATGTGGCTATTGAGTACTTGAAACATGGCTAGTGCAACAGAGAAACTTAATTTTGAATTTTATTTACATTTAATTAATTTAAATATAAATAGCCCACATGTAACTAGTGGCTACCATATAAACAACCTAGTTCTGGTCTAGATGACTTAGAAATGTGGAGAGAGTCAAATATGTACAGATTTGATATCACTATCAGTTATTATCTGTATATCAACTACCATTGACCATAACTAAAATCATTAATGCCTGAAGAACTGTGCTCCAACATTAATTTAGCAGGAGTTTGAGAAATACTGTCATGTGATAGACCAAATGGTAAAGAGTACTATTTTGTTTTCATCAGAAATTAAATACCCTCTTGCAGAGATTTTCTATTTCCTTTGATATTCTGTCATACAATATAATTTTTTATGTTTACTTTAATATTTGAGTTATCATTACAGTAGGATTTCTTTATGATACTTTCTCAGAGATGAATGCTTTTCATATGGTCGATAGGAGTACATCATAAAATTGCTTTATAAGCCTGGGATAGCAACTTTTAAAATGGCCCATTGTAAACAAGACTACATGAAAAAGATAAATACACTAATGAAAATTCTAGCTATGGGGACAAATATTTTTTAAAGTTTAGTTATAATTGGCGGGGCATAGTGGCTCATGACTGTAATCCCAGCACTTTGGGAGGCCAAGGTGAGTGGATCATCTGAGGTCAGTAGTTCAAGACCAGCCTGACCAATATTGGTGAAACCCTAGCTCTACTGAAAATACAAAATTAGCTGGGCGTGGTGGCAGGCATCTGTAATCGCAGCTGCTTGGGAGGCTGAGGCAAGAATATCGCTTGAACCTGGGAGGTGGAGGTTCCAGTGAGCTGAGACCATGCCATTGTACTCTAGCCTGGGCACCAAGAGTAAAACTCCATCTAAAAAAAAAAAAAAAAAAGAAAGAAAGAAAAGAAAACGAAGAAGTTTTGTTACCATTTCTACAATACAACTTGGCTAATAATTCCAAAAATGTAATCGGTCTCAAAAAGTGCTTCCTAGCCTTGTTTCTCCAAAAGCTGATTCTCCTCCAAAGCACACATCAGAGTTTAAATCTCCCATGACCTTTTCAGGCATTTAGTGAAATTGATCATTAGCATTTGTGATGATACTTTTATAATAATGCTAGGCAGTAATATTATAGATGGGATAATTGACTGTAAAATAATATTGAAAATTTTAAATTTGTATAGCTTTTAAAAGTCAGTAAATTCATATCTTGAATGCTGATTATTTGTAGGACATTGAACCCTAGAGACTCTGGGAAATACTTTTTTAAATGGTAGACATCCATCCTTTTAGGAACTCCATTTATTAGACCTGGGCATGTTATTTTGGAAGGATTGGATTCAGACGAGCGTGAGAGAAGAGATTTCTTTTGGCAGAACCTTGGACAAGCTACTCAGTGTTCCTTCTGCAGCAAAACAGTAGGATTCTGGATAAAACACACTTTCTAATGAATTATTTGACTTCAGAAAACTTTTTTAACTTCTCTAGAGATCCTTTTCCCTTGCCTTAGAATGAAAAAATTAAAAAGCATTAGGTGCTGTTGAAGAGCAATAAACAAACAGGAAAAGTGGGATGGACAGTTGAATTGTATGGGTTGTATTTATTTGCAAAGATACTGTTGGAAGTATAGCAGTCACATGCTTTATTAGACTGCTCCTAAACCAAGCCTTATTTGAAACAAACAAGGAGAACCAACAACCACATTTGTAGACCCAGTTTTTTGGTGTCCTATTTTTTTTCCTTTTGGTATCTTCAGTTAAGTAGCCAACTGCTTTCATATTCCCTGATCTGTTTTCAGAAAAAGGGCCCACCCTTGCTCAGAAACCAGTGTTCTGTGTGGAGAAAACAAGGTTCTCCATGGAGAGAATCCTACAAATCTCTGATATCTGCATGTTTGAGAAACTACCTTCATTCAGACACATGGACTGTAACTTCTGAGTCCTTAACCATCACCTCAAATTAGTATGTATTTGTCTACTTTTAAGTGTATTTAACTTTTTGTTATGAAAATTAAGAATATATTAGAAAAGTAGAGGGAAAACGGTAATGAAATTTTATATAACCATACCTACCTTTGACAGCTATCATCTCATGGGTCAGCTTGTTTCATAATTGTTGTTTCCACTTTCCACTTCCACTTCAAATTATTTTGAAGCGAATCCCAGACATGACATCATTTTATCTGGTAACATTTCAGTCTTTATCTTTAAAAGATTAAGATTTTTTTAAACTTAAAAATGAACCACATCTAGAAAATTAACCACACTTAAAAAGTCAACATTTTCTTACTATTCTCAAATATACAAAACCAATATTCAACATTTTCTGGTTGTCTTCTAAAGTTTTGTATTCTTTACTATTTGAAGCAGGATGCAAATAAGGTCCATACATTGTAATTGGTTAATATATCTCCTCTTTTAATCTATAGGTTTATGTTTATTTTTCCTTGTTTCTTAAGAAACTGGATTGTTTGTGCTGTAGAGCATTCCATAGTCTGCTTTTGCTGATGCATTGCTGCAGAGTCATTTAATGAGCTCCTCAGCCCTGTTTCTTACCTGTTAATGGGTAGTGAAGACTTGATCAAATTCATTTAGGGGATGAGGGGCAAGACTACTGGCTCTTTCTCTTTTTGTGATGTTAGCAGTTGGTGTTGATCATTGCCTACGTCTATTTATTCATTAGAGCTTGAAAATGGCAATATAACTGTCATTTCTGGTTTATTTATTGAGTGGAATGCTTCTATAAAGATAAACTAGTTTGCTAGAGTTTCAATTTTTATAAGAAAATCAGGATGGATGCTTGATTCTCTCCCTTTATCAGTTCTTAATATAGTGTGTGGTTCCTTAACATCCTCTAAAGTTTACCAATGGTTTTAAAAATTTCATTATGAACATTAATATGCTTCAAGCTATTGCAGTTATCATACTTATGAACGCCCAGTTTGCCACGTCTCTGAGTACTCAAAGTTTATCTCAGTTGGTTCCTCTGTGTTTTTGAAAGAACCCCCAGTTTTTGAGAGCTTCCAGGATAATTGATGTGACCAAATATAACAGGCTCATCTTTAACATTTCCTTTCCAAACCTGGAATCAGGCAATTATCCAAGAAATTCTAGTTCTATTTTTTTTTTTTTTTTTTTGGTCTTGGAACTAGTACTTGAAAACTGTAATCTTGAAATTAGTGAGCTCATTGCTACTGACTTTGTCCTTAATATAGGCCCTTTCAAAGGAAAAAGCTCGAAAAAATCTGTCTGTGTGTGTGTGTGTGTGTGTGTGTGTGTGTGTGTTTAATTTTAAGATTAAATACATCAGGAGCTCACGCTAATACTTCCTATTAATATATAGACCAACAGGTTTTAAATTTAGTCACATAAATCTTGTATCATATCAATGTCCTTTCTCCCCAACTGACCATCCTACAATCTTAATTCTTAATGATACTAGCGTACTTATTTGCTTATGCTACAATACACTTACAACAGGCTCAGAATAATAATACCAAGACTACTATCATCAGTAGTGATGGACACATCCTATGTACACCCTGTGTACAGCCCCCTTCTTCTCTTTCAAGATGTATGTCTTACTGAGGTTTTAAGTCATGT